ATCCCTCCAGATTTTTGTAGTCAATTTTTGGCGCTCAAACTTTATGTGACAAAGTAGACCTTATTGTCATAGTAGTCAATATCCTTGACTTAAATCTCAACTCATCCATATCCTATGAGTGTATAGGACTCCTCCTTGTCCAAAACAATTTATACATACGAGTTTGAGGACAATACCATCGTCCTTGGATTCTCTACCATTTATACATATGAGTTTGAGGACAGTACCGTCATCCCTGGGTTTCCACCATTTATATACCGAGGTTTGGGGACAGTGTCGTCGTCCTTAGGTCTCCAACGTTATACATTCGAGGTTTGAGGACAGTACCATCGTCCCTAGGTCTCCACCATTATACATTCGAGGTTTGAGGACAGTACCGTCATCCCTGGGTCTCCACCATTTATACATTTGAGGTTTGAGGACAGTACCATCGTCCCTGGGTCTCCACCGTTTATATACTGAGTTTTGAGGACAGTACTGTCATCCCTAGGTTCTCCACCATCGTACGTTCATTTCTATGATCTACCATTTATCGTACATAGATAGGGTCTATATCATAATCATTTATCAAGACTAAACCAAGTCTAATAGTCTAAGCACAACAATCCATGCAAAACCATGCACGAAAATCAATATATGGGCAAAACGGCCCCAAACCGGCGCCAGTTCAACCATAACCGGCGCCGGTTATTAATTAAAATTAATAAACCAGGCACCCCGTACCCAAACCGGCGCCGGTCTTGCCTATAACTGGCGCCGGTTCTCCCCTGGACAACCGGTCAATGTTTGTTGACCCGCCAAATCAATTATGATTCGTGTCAAACTTAATCACCATGTGTATTAAGTTATAAACGATCATTTTATGCCCCTTTTGTCCTTCAAAACATCTCATATGTTTTTATATACATTTTCATATCACATTCCATGAATATCTCAATAGTTCATTCCATATGAGCCTAATCACTTGGCTAATCACATGTTTAAACCATTTTAGACATCATTATGATCACATATAGCATTTACTTAGGTAATCCTATACTTAACCCAAGAGTTACAAGACATTAAGCCATCCACTCACCTTGAATGAGCTTTAAGAAGTTTTACCCTTCCCGGTTGGACTCCAGTGAAGCTCTAGCAAACTTTGACAAACTCCGGCGAAAACTCCGGTGACTCTTTCAACTCCGTGAAAGCTCTATGAACACCTTAGACAAGTTCCTAACAATGTTTTATCATCATAAAACCCATATCAATACAAATAACATCTAAAAGGTTATTTTCCGGCGAACCGGTCACTTTGGCTTCTAAGCCCGTTCTTGGACTTAGAACTACCTTCCGACCCCTCATTCTACACTTATAACCAAGTAGAGCTTCTCCAGGGGTTCCTCATATGCTATATAAGTCATATGGTAATTAAAGAGTAGAGGAAAAGTTAATATAAGGTCATTACCTTAATCCTTCGCACTTTTCCTAACATTTTCCTTCTTTGATCTTCTTCATTGGACCTCTATTGCTTGATCTCGAATTGCAGCAATGGAGAATGGTCGAGTACAATGATGAGGATGGAGGGGGATAGGTTCATTTTGTCTCATTTAGCTAATGAATGAGAGAGGGACCCATTTGGTTTCACTAAATGTCTCATCATCCCATCACTTGAATTCCTAGCTCTCATTAGTCAATTTGAGCACCCAAAAATGTGGGGTGGCCCCCCGTCCATGTGGGCAGTTATCCCAATATGTCCCGATGTGTAAAATCGGCCCGAAGTTGTATTTCTCGGACTGTTTTAATTATATTTTATTTTATCGGGCCAAGTAAAATATACCTATTGGGTTAACGGCCCAATAAAGATTTGTCCATAAGCCCTAAGGCCATGCTACGAACGTCCTTGGAAACATGAGTCGACGTACGTCCATAAGCTAACGGGCGCCTTACCTAGGGGCAGCTGACTTAAGGCGACGTATGTCCCCAATAAAACGCCAAGGCCCCATTATATATTAAGGCGACGTGCGTCCCCAGTAGGACGCTAAGCCCCTTTCATATGTTAAGGCTACGTATGTCCCCAACCGGACACTAAGGCATAATCTTACGTTAAGACGACGTGCGTCCCCAACAGGACGCTAAGACCCAATATCACGTTAAGGTGACGTATGTCCCCAACAAGACGCTAAGGCCCAATATCACGTTAAGGAGACGTACGTCCCCAACAGGACGCTTAAAGCCCAGAGGACAATCGGCGACAGAGGATGCTCGTCGTTTACTGGACAAACGTCCCCATAGACCAAGCCAACTGAGAACCCTTTCCCCGAGTAGTGGCGACGTACGTCCCCAACAGGACCAGACCACCTAATGAAGGCACAAGGGATGTACGTATCCAGGGGCGGAAATACCGGGTGGTCCTCGCCCCCGATGTGGGTCCCACGTGCAGTTCACTGTTCACGCAAAAGTAGTAACCAAAATTTACAACCTCGTAAATTCATTAACCATTTCATAAGGTTCAGTACATGATTTACATAAAAGTAAATATATTTGGGGACGGTGTTACAAGTGCTATTTACAATGTAGGTGCACCATTAGCACTTCGTCACATATAATTAGAGATGTGGAATTGAAGAGCTTTACCTTGGGACTTTCTTGATAAAAAAAATTACTGCAGGAGTTTCAGCGGTGTTCAGTGGGATAGAAAAACTGGAAAGTGTGGTCCTACCTCCAGGCAATAGTAATGACGCTATTCCACTTGACGCAAATGAAAAAAAAAATGTTTCCTTCACTCCTAATAGATGTTGCCACAATATTCAACATAAACGTTTTTCCAGATCCATCGTATTCGTAGACAAAGAAAACCCCTATATAAAAGAGGAAGTGCGATTCACCACGTGACAGATTGTAAATATATTAAAATTTGTGTATTTATTTTCAATTTATCCATGTTTATACTAACACACAATTTGAAAATAAAAAATTACATTAACCTCCGGTGTTTCCACACACAGCATTAACGATGTTCATGTAAATACGCTTTTTCTCATTTGTTAACTGGTCAATGAGATGCGGCAGCTGTCGTGCTAAGTCTTATGTGTCATATTCCATCTCTTCATTTATAAGTGCATTTCATCATAACTTACATATGTTGCATCTAGTTTCGACATACCTTCAAAATTCGCAAGACACTCTTTCCGTTCCTTTATAATATTCTTTCAATATATCCGAGACATTTATTATTGGAATCCTCTATATTATTCTCTTTGTCCGCGCTGACATAGAGTGGTTATTAAGACACTATATGAGTGTTTTATTTTATATTGAGATTTAAAAATAATTTAAATTACTTTATCTGCACGGTGTAAACCTCTTGAAAGGCAGTACATGTAATCTTCAATCATCATCTCAGTATGATTCTCTGACATTGTGAGGTATGTGGTTTGCATATATATGAAAGTAGAATAGCGGCAAATAAATACATCAAATAATAACTGGAAAGGTGCCCAAAGATTGACCTCTTTGATCGCTTCTAGGTATTCACAGTCGCCGATGGATTGCACAACATGCTTCCTTATCATTTGAATACTCAACCCCATCAACCGTGCAGATGGCTACCAAAGTCGTGCACTCTTTGACTCTATTCAGTATGATCCGTAGATACCAAAGCTCACTGGATACTGGTGGAATTTTATGTATCCTACCCATTCTGTAGCCTTGCATTGTTTTCGAATCTTCCATTTTTTCTGGTCGTACATCCACACGAGCTTGGTAGGAAAATTCACATATGCCAAACTTCGTGCCTCATCATATTGTTTATTCAATTCAAACCAACCTGTCAGAGTGGTGTTGGTTTCCCCTTATCTCCAGGACGGATTCTATGGGGTCACTTTCTCCGTAAATGACATTTTGCTCATTCGGCAAGTGACAACATAGTCATTCAAGTTTCAACTGACAATGTCCTATAATATATATCAAATTAGAGAATTTTTCACATCGCTTCACACATTGATATGTATCGACAGTTGTAGTACATCTTAATATCATCAATTGTGTCTGCTTTGTTGTCGGTTTGACCACATCATGTCCTTTATTGACTTACTGAAATAAGTATTTGACTTAACGTGACTGATTGCACCAATCAACATTGATATAGGCACGCAACTTCTATAAGAGACGGAGAGTTTAAGGCACCACAAATCTATTATCAATGGAATGGTTGCATGTGTTTATCATTGTGCCGGTGTTCCTTCTGTACTTTGGATACCCATCTTCATTAATGGAGGTTGTGGATCTAAAACATCTTGGGTAATGTTTTGAACACACACCATCTATCATCCAAGGTGACTTTATGTTGAAATCTCAGCAAGGACCGTGTATCACTAAACTTTTTACCGTGTCATGCAACTCTGCATCTTGAAGAGGATCCGAAAAAGGGAGTTCAACGGAGATGACTTTATCAATGGCATCAACACCTCTCAACTTGTACTCAGAATCTTGAGACATGACGATGTGGGCATATGGGAGGTCTCATTTTTTAAATACAATAGTGTAATTAATAAAAAAATTCCAAGGATATATATGCACTTCTACATACACTTCAAAGGTATATTTGTTCCGAAAAATAAAGCAGGTGTATATTTGTTTTTACACTCATACTACAGGGGTACATTTGTACCTTTTCCCAATTTTAAATTTCACCAATTTGAAAGGTTTTGAAGGACAATTAACAAAAGAGAGTATTACCCGAAATAGGACTAAAACAATTTGAAAATTCCAAAATAGAACTGCCAAGTTTTTATTCTCAAAATAGGACTAATTACTGTCATGTTTTGGCAGTACTAAACTTCAAACATGGCAGTATATTTTAAACATGGCAGTAATTAGTCCTATTTTGGGAATAAAAAACATGACAGTCCTATTTTGGAATTTTCAAATTGTTTTAGTCCTATTTCGAGAACTTTCCCTTAACAAAATAATAATTTAAGTTTAACTTAAAATGAATATCAATTTTATTATTTGAATTCGTCATATATCAAAGCGATTTTAATTATAATTCCATCAAAGAGTCTCTTCCAAATTTAATTACTCCTAAATGCGAAAGAAGATTTTCTCACCTTCGCCTCCCTTTTTCCTCCAACAACATATCTTCAAAGTCTTCCCCTCCCTTTCCCTCCAAACTCTTAAACATACCCTAAAGGAATCTTTTCTAACAAAACGTACAAAGTGTGGTACATGACAAGAGTGACAAAATCTGTTGATATATTTCAGCCCCTATAACAGCCAACTTCCTTTCTGCTGAGTATATTTCAGCCCAACAGCCTGATTAAAGGATAGGAAAAGAATGTGTTGAGGACCATCTTTAATTCACCCCTCTTCCAATAAGAGCGAGGTACATGACAAGAGTGACAAAATCTCTTCTTGTGTAGCAGAACCACAACCCTGCCATCTTATTCTACCATGTTTGTCCACCAAATATATGTACCTGTTTTCATTTTCCAACAACCCTATTCATCTGAATGTTAAGTAACAAAAAAGGTTCATAGCATGCTACCTGCCTAGGAGCCCTTACATCCCATTCTCTGAATGAGCTCGAGCTCAATCAAGGAACGAACTCACAGGCCCGTAGGTGTAAGCAAAGACGAAACCCATAAAAAATGTGTGCAGCGGGGAGGAAGTGTCTGCTTCTTACCCTGTTAGAAGGTTCAGTATTTTGAGTTCTTTTCGGAACTCATAATGATCACCAAAAGAGTACGCCACCCGTCTTTGCAATACACCACCCTCCTGATGCTCAGGTTTGGGTTTCCTCATCACATGAAGAAGGAGCTTTTTTATTGGATTGCGTGATAATAACCATGAATCTACAAAGGATATCTGCAGATGTATAATGCCACTTTACTGTTTACGAATTAGAAAAAAGATCAAGCGATACAGAAATCTCTCTTGAAAAATATTATTCCCAAGCTCCTTTTAAACATATTCTGGATAGCAGTATAAGAATAATGATTACGACTGCAATATTCTTTTAAATGCAGATTTTTAGAAAGGAGCTTCCCAGAAGCAGTTTTGCAAAAAAATAATTTAATCTAAATATTTTTAGTTTTAATTTTATTTAAAAAACGCTTTTTTAATTTTAAACTTCCATAACTTTTACTCAAAAAGGTCGTTGCTTGATATGTGGGACTCGAATATACAGCTGAAAGAAAGGTCCAGCCCGAGTTTTCTTGTTACTGCCAATTGAATCATTATACTAATTTAGGGAAATCAGATTAACTATGTGGAATTCGAACAAGTAACCCAGACTTTGACAGAACACTCCAAAGTGTTAAGATCAAAATGAGAAGTCCAAAAAACTCTTGAGAAATCATTTATCAGGACCATGAAAGTTACAAATATCAGAAGCCAAAGCTTTACCTGCTATTCGCACCACATACAACTACCTCCCAGCCTCTACTCATCGAATCCCTCCCTCCAACCGCCTATTCCTAGTATCCTCCTTGGATCCATTTAATCAATTATATTTGTAATTTGTATACCCTCATAATTACTCTTATCCGTTTTATATTATTTTACTTTCCTTGTAGAAATTTATTGCTTAAGAGTAGAAGGAAGGTATGGAGTAAAAGGATGTGAAGAACAAACGTGGCCAAAAGATAATATTATTCTGTAATCTGGCTTGGATTGCTTAACATTTCTTTTCATATTTTTGACTTTGCGTGATTCAATTTGTTAACTTGCTATGGTAATGTTGCATCTTCTTCCTTTTCTCCCCTCTACTCCCACCCCCCTCCCAAAAAAATATAGTAACAAATAAATTAAATATACTTGTAAGAGACAGCTGATGAGTTCAATTGTTTAAACTTATGAGATCAGTCTTATGAATAAGTGAATAACACTGCAGCTATTAAAGGTTCATTGCATATCATCACTACATAACATCATTAAAGAATCCTGTAGATATTGAGGCTAATTGGTCTATATTTAAAAGGATTCATTCAAAATTTAAAATCAGTCCAAGTAAACTACTTTAAGGACTCAATGCACTGTAATTAAACGTAAAAACATACCTCATACAAGTGGACCTTATTTGAATCTTTAAAAGCATCAACGAATGGCACACTCCAAGAATGTATCATTGGCTGTCAAAGATGTTGAAATATTAAATAATATCAGGTATGATCAATTCAAATTTACTTGTGTATATGTAGTGTTCAGACTTCATGCAGTTATATCCATTCTCCAAGGAAACAATGTGTTGCTCTCCAAAATTTTAGCGGAGAGCAACACTAAAATTTTAGGATTTAGTGGCAAAATTTTAAGTCCATGAATTTTAAAAGTTTAGGTGTATTTAATGTGGACTTTTAAAAGTCTACAAAAGTCTAGGTGTATTCAATGTAGACTTTTAAAACTCTATAAAAGTCTAGGCATATTCAAAGTTCCGTTCATTTTTATGGATTTCTAAAATCATGGATTCTCGTGGACTTTTAACTCATTTTTAGTACATTAATTCTCTTCAGTTGTCTATTCTTCTCACTAAAGATTTCCGTGGACTTTTCTTATATCGGTTCTTCATCCCGTCCCACCCCCCCAACTCTCCTCTTCTTTAGCCAAGCCACTCATTCCCCTTCGATCTTTCTTCTTCTTCTTCAACCCAGCTCGCCCCACCCCTCTCCTTCCGTTGTTTTTCTTCTTCAGCTTGCCCCACCCCACTCCCCTTGATTCCCCCTCGATTCGTTAATCCCATATTGGTTCGACTCTAGAAGTTTCTAGAAGAACTGGTATAAGAATCGATAGATTAAATCAGTGCAATTCAGGTACGTCGTCACTTAACCATTAAGAAAATAAATATTTTAACTATTTCTTTCTTTCATCGTTAAATCGCTAACACATAAAAATATGATTTCAAATTAATAAATATATATCCGTAAATAAGTACACAAAATTTTCAAGATAGAAATGAAAAGAAAACAATTATTAAGAAGAAAAACTCGATTGCAACTATGCTTGTACCACATGTAGCAATGAGTGTAACGATTAATGTTCTTATTCATTAATAAAATGACCAAAATTCTTGAGCATTCTTGAAACTTTGAGTTTTTTTTAATAAAAATAAATTTGGATTCTTATGCTTCATTTACTCTTGTAGAACTTTGTGTTGCTATATGAATTACATTTATATTTGTTTCATTTATTTATGTATTTATTTGTTTGTTTGTTTCTTATCATACTCCGTATTATACAGAGGAAATTACTCAGGGTAGGACTAAAACATAGCATTCTTCTTAAAGTATGATCATATGTTTGATTTTCCTTAAATAGGACTAAATATTACATATTCACCCCTAATTTAATTAATTAATTAATATAATTAATCGCCCCTAGTTCCCTTGCATGACCAAATCGATTTTGTTGGTGACGGATCAGTCCGATGACGACAGCGGGGAACTCCGGTGACGGAGGCGGAAGGGCAGATCGGTAGCTGCGATCTAGGTGAAAAATTTGACGACCAGCAGTGGTGGTCCGCATTTAAAAGTCTATGGACTTTTTGAAAGTCAATAAACTTATCCATGGATTTAAAAGTCAATAGAATTCATTCATAAAAAAGTCTATGGATTTAAAAGTCCATTGACTTTTTTAAAAGTACACGGATTAAAAAAAGTCCACCGCAATCCATATTCAATACACCCCCTTTAATATGAAGCAAGTATCATTTTTTTGATGTGGTAAAACAAAGATTCACCCTCCACTCTATAGGGTATGTTTGGGTCATGGAAACTGCTAGGGAAAGGAAAACAAATGGTAAAGAAAGTTACTTTCCTATTTTTGGCTTTGTCTTGGAAAAGAAAATGATGTATGGGATTAATTTATTTAAAATATCATATATTTAGATTTCTTAGTCTTTATATAATAGGGATAAAAAGAAATAAAAAAGAGTTCAGAAAATTAATTAAAATATACGTAGTATTTCTTAGCCTAAACTCTAATTTCATCCTTAATTTTCCTGTGTACTTCCATGTTCCAAATGGATCTAAAATACAGAGTATATAGAGAACAGGAAATAAGCAAAAAACCAAGGCATGTACACAAACTGAAATTTACATTTCATCAGCAGGAAAGATTGAAATGAAAGAATAACCAAGTTTAATCCGAACAACGAAAAAAGTGTTGTTAAGAAATTGCTAACCTCTGAGCTTGCACGGAAAGAAAGACACAACAATGATGCCCTTGGCAGATTCGCATCGGTGTGATCATTTCTAACATTTGCATCGGTGGAATCTTTTCCATAGCACGTAATGGGCAGTTTAAGGCTGGAGCTATTAGAGTGATTCACCTCTAATGCAGGAAATTTTACAGCTGCTATTGCCGGTATTATAATCTTATTAGCCATTGCGATCTACAGAAACACAAAAGCCCATTGTGTAACCGCGCCAATGAATACTTCAAGGTGCAAAAAGACTAACAAAATTCAACTAAAAAATCTGCATAAAATAATCGCATACCTTACCCCCATGTTCCTTCATTTCTGACATGTCAGCGAAATAACCCCTGCTGAGTTCATCTGAACTGCCATAACCCCGAGAAAAAGAACCACATACAATTTGAATGCATATTGTGATCCATTAACACTTCGAAAATCTAGTACAGAAGCACTTTTATATTGTCAGAGCCACATAAAAAAACTTACAGCCTCTTGCGTTCTTTCTCAATTGCAGCCTTGTTTACGAACTGCAAGTTAGAATGGGCTTTCAGCATACAACATTACATAAAAGCAACCTCGAACAACCAATTAGAAGATTCATATAAGATCCATTTAAGCTTTCAGGAACCATCTGAGATCAACAGACCTGGTAGATGTCAAGGAAGCGAACGGAAGACCGTTGATACGGGTTCTGTTGAGAAATGAAGGGGATCGACAGGTTGTCTGATCGAGCTAACGAGCTTCTAGAACTGAGACATACAGTGGAAGAGGCTACTCTTGTGACCCTCAACATCTTCATCATTTTTCTTCCTGAGTTTGTAATTTGATAATTTGAGTTATCAGAGCTCTTGTTTAATGAACAGTAATAGTCGGTTTCGGGGATTGGAGGTCTCCAATTGGAGACGACGATGATCACGAACAGGTCCATTCGATAGATTTTGGTTTAGTTGAAAAAAATCCCAGGCCCAATACTTCATCGTGTGGGCTGAATCCACGTTAAACTATGGGCCTGTGTCCAACAAAAGAATAGAGAAATTGCCAATTGCCTACTGAGTTTTTTTAGAAGAAATGCTATTTTTTTGCAGAAATGCTACTTCTAGACAAAGAGTTACACCTTCTAAATGTTGGTCACAAATAATTGGTGCTGATGGAGTATATGGCCCATGAACCCCCGGTCCATAGACTCTCACTATTCTAATACAGGCCCAACGGGTCCAGGAAGCACAGCAGGCCCAAGTCACTGCGCCCCAAGAGACAGGAGGCCCACGCAGCCCACGCAGACGCCTTCGGTCCCCTGGCCGAAGGCCCCAAAATCTCACAGAACAACTGTTTTAGGCTTACGAAGCTGCTGGGAGAAAACGGTGAAAACAGTAGTAGCCCTCGGCACCTAGAGCCCTCGGCACCTAGAGGCCTCGGGATGAAGAGCCTTCGGCTAATCATCTACCGCCGAAGGCATCTCCTCGACAGAATCTCCCACCCACATGCGCTGGATCAACGTACCGAGTACAAACGTCACATCCAACCACCGCATTTAATGCGCCCACATGCGAGTGCCAGTGCCACCCCGTTGAGGTGACCCCTCGACCACCAGAATGATGACATGTGTCCCTATCTAGCATTTATTGCTCCTATAAATAGCACCGCTTTCCCCATTTGTAAACCACGCCCAATACGCTTTAAGCAATACATCAATATACATTCTCTCTCTCTACTGGTGCTCTGACTTCTCTCTAAGTTACTCCCGCAGTAACCCCTCGGATACATACCCGGGTACACTATCCATCATTTGGTGCTCTCGTTGAGAGGTCGAACAATCAAGTAAGAAACCCTCTCCTTCAGCTAAAAACACCTATCAAAATGGGAAGAAACACCCGTGCCCAATCCAAGACTCATGAGGACAGGAACCTGGCCCTTGGCGAAGTCGACGTCCCTGAAGCCTCTAACAAGGCTCCCGAGGGCGGCGTCATCACCGGGTTGGACCAGACAGCTGTCGACCTACGCCTTCAGCTCCAACAAAATGCCCCTGATGCCCGCCTTGGCATCGAGGCCAGGAAAAAGGACCGAAGCGAAAACCAAGTGAGCCCTCCGGTCCTTACTATTCACGTGCAATCAGCGTTCTCCGTCTTCATCCAGACACTCACTCAGAACCCGGGTGCCTTCGGCACTCTGGTGCCTCTCCAAACACAGGTCGGGAAGAACGCCATACCGCTCCCACCACCACTCCCCCTCGTGAAACCTATCCTTTGGATTGGGAACGACGAGGGGGTCATGGCCCAGGACACCGCCTCTCAGGAGGTCCAATCCCGGTACCGCCAGGGCACAAACAAAGAAAGGCCCCGGACCTCAGCCCTCGAGAGGCTCGGAGGGGCGCAAGACCATCGAGGGGTCCAAGACTGCCTCGGGGGGAAGGCGTTCCAAAGAACTCAGGAAAGTGGCGGATCCGTCTCCAGGGCAGACGAAAGACGTCCTCTTCAGGACAAAGGCAAGGCCCCACTCCATGCCAACGACGCCCGGCACCAGATCAATCAGGCCCACTCGGCCCGTGCTCATTCGCTGGGGCTGGAGGCCCTCCCGAAGGATCCTAGGGATGAGATCATTGCGGCCCTCCAGCGCCGGCTTGACGAAATGGAGGCCACCAGAGCACACGCCACCGTTTCTGCCCCTCATGCAGATCTCAAATATGAGGTCATGCTGGCCAAAATGGAGGAGATGCAAAAGAGAATAGCCGAGGGCTCCGGGGAACCCGTCATCCAGCTCCGGACTAGGACGCCATTTACCCCAAGGATATTGGCGGCCCGCATTCCAGAAAAATATCGGGGGCAACCCATCAGGCCCTATGAAGGAAAGACAGACCCCCAGGAGCATTACAGCCGATATCAAAACAGTATGATGATGGTGGGGGCATCAGACAAATATTTGTGCTGTTGGTTCCTCTCCACCTTAGAGGGACCAGCGTACAAATGGTTCAACCGATTGCCCGAAGGCTGCATCAACTCATGGCAAGAACTCGCCCAACGCTTCTTGACGCAGTTTGCAGGAAGGCACCGATCAAGGAAACACTTCTCCCACTTGTTGACGGTGAGACAAAGGAAAGAGGAGACCCTTCGGGACTTCTTGGAACGCTGGAGAACGGAGGCTGATAAGGTTGACGGCGCTGACGACGGGACCCTCCTGGCCCTCCTTCAAACAGTCCTCCGCCCCGGGAACTTCTCAAGGAGCCTCATCATCGAACCTCCCTGCGATTACATAAGGGCCCTGCAGCGGGGGGACCGGTACGCCGAGGCCGATGAGGTAGAGAAATGACATCACAACCCTGATCAGCAACGCCCTCGACCAGATGACAAAGGCAACCGGGGGCTGGGGGCTCCCCATAATCAATCAAAGGGTTCGGCACCCCCCGGTGATCGCCTCCGGCATGGCCTAGCCAAACCCGGGGGAGGTTACAAGGGAAACCCGAAGGCATGGGCCCAGCCCGTTCTCTTGGAGCACCCTCGGACGCCCTTGACACACCCCTTCAGTGTCATCCTAGACTTCGCCGAGAAAAGGGGCCTAGTGGAGCGCGACTCTCGCGCACCCCTAGAGGTATATGCCATCAACCCCAATTATCCTTACTGTCGGTTCCATCGCAACCAAGGGCACAACACCGACGACTGCCATCAGCTGAAGACGGCCATTGAGAGGTTGATACAGGCAGGACACCTATCCCAATTCATCAGAGGCCATCCGCCTCAGGGAACCCCTCACTACCAGGGGCCCCTAAGAAAGTAAACGTTTGGGTCAACCCAAACACCATCCCCCTCGGCGACCCGAAGGGTAAGAAAAAGGAGATTGGAAACCTCGATGAGGAGGAGGAGTACAGCCCGTACCAGGAGAAGAAGTGCCACATCCATATGATCACTGGAGGTAACACAGGGAGGGACTCCACCAGCCAGCGGAAGAAGTGGGCTCAATCGCTATACGTGGGGGAAGTCACTCGTAAAGCGGTTGAGGGAGGAGCCCATCACATTCACAAACGCCGATCTCCCCCCTGCTTCCTCTCCTCATAAGGATGCTTTGGTGATCCAAAGCGAAATAAACAACACCATTATTCATCGAACTTACATTGACACGTGCAGCTCCGTCAATGTAATATACCTGAGCACATTCAGAGAGTTGCATCTGGAGAGGGGGTCCCTTCGGCCCATAAAGACCCCTCTTGCCGGCTTCACCGGAGACACCATTGACTCTGAGGGGGTCATAACCCTCCCGGTACTGTTCGGCGACGGGCTCCATAGAGCCAAGCTCGAAGTGGAGTTTGTCGTCGTCAACATCGACTGCACCCACAATATCATCCTCGGCAGACCAGCCTTCGAGGACCTCAAAGCCATCATCTCTATGAGGCACCTCTGCCTCAAATTCCCCACACCTACCGGCATCGGCTACTCCAGGGGGAATCAGAAGCTCTCACGGGCTTGCTATCTTCAACTCACCAAGAAGGTGAGTAAAACTGAACTTCGCATTGACACAATCACCGCCGCCTTGGATGAGGAGGAAGGCAGACCGAGGGCTGAGCCTGCCGAAGACACCAAAGACTTTGTGCTCGATCCGGCCAAGCCGGAGAGAGTCTTGAAGATTGGAGCCAAGCTCCCCGAAGACCTGAAGACCGGCATAACTGAAGCCCTCCGCGCCTACTCCATTGTTTTTGCATGGGGGCCGGAGGACATGCCCGGAATCAGCCGAAGGATCATCACCCACCGCCTCTCGGTGGACCCTTCGGCCAAACCTGTACAACAGCGAAGAAGGCCCCTCTCGGCCGAGAGGAGGGAATTTAGGAAGAAGGAAGTCGCCATGCTCCTCTCCATAAGACACATCAAGGAGGTCAAATACCCATGATGGCTGGCTAACGTAGTCCTCGCACAGAAACCACCCACCTTCCGCATGTGCGTGGATTACACGGATCTCAATAAGGCGTGCCCTATGGACCCTTTCCCTCTGCCAAATGTTGATCAATTGGTGGATGAAACGGTTGGGTGAGAGATCATGTCATTCCTCGACGCCTTCCGCGGATATCACCAAATTTTCATGCATGAGGAAGATGCGGAAAAAACAGCCTTCATGACTCCCAAAGGTATCTTCTGCTACCTGGTCATGGCCTTCGTCCTGAAGAATTCCGGCGCCACTTACACCCGGATGGTAGCCAGGGTCTTTCAAGCCGTCCTGGGACGCACCATAGAGGCCTATGTTGACGAGATGATCGTCAAAAGCAAACAATCATCAACCCATGTTGACGACCTCCGGGAGATCTTCGCCATCATGCAAAAGTGTCACCTTCGGCTAAACCCGAAGAAATGCACCTTCGGCGTGCAAGGAGGCAAATTCTTAGGCTACATGGTGAGCCGAAGGGGTATCAAGGCCAACCCCAAGAAAATCTAGGCCATCATCAACATGGAACCCTCGCGCAATGTGAAGGAGGTCCAACGGTTGACGGGCCGCCTGGCAGCCCTCAACCGTTTCCTATCCAAATCGGCGGAGAAGTCCTTACCCTTCTTCCAGATCATGAGGAAGACCGCCGGCTTCCAGTGGACTTTAGAATGCCAGGAGGCCTTCGACGAGCTAAAACGGTATTTGTATTCACCCCCTGTGCTCTCCAAACCCAAGGTAGGGGAAACTCTATACCTTTACCTTGGAGTCAGCCCGGCTGCCGTCAGCTCAGTGCTCATCCGGGAGGAAGATGGCGTCCAACATGCCATCTTCTATGTTAGCAAGACCCTCAGGGAGGCCGAACTCAGGTACTCCCTCGTGGAAAAGACAGTCCTAGCCATTGTTTGGACTGTGAAGAAGCTTGGCCATTACTTTCAGGCTCACCCGGTCCAAGTGCTCACACATCAACCCCTCGGCCCCCTCATGAGGAGCCCCACCAGCTCATCCCGGA